CCACAGCTGTGAGATCAATGTCACCAACCCCAGCAGGCTGAGCCAGTACCTCATAACTGTCCGGCCCAAGGAGGAGGAGAAACTGATTCAAGCCTCCCAAAACAGTGAGAGCCCATTTGGATCCTCTGCCCAGGGTTATCGGGGGGTTTCTCCTCCAGCTTAGGAAACGCTTGGGTTGACAGAGGTGGAATGGTTAACAAAAGAGCTTGACAGTGATGTGTGGGTGGGACAGAGGGCTGGAAAAGGAAGCTCCCAGCACTGGAGCTCCTGACTGGCACCAACAGAGCACTGCTGCGAGGAGGCACAGAATGGGTGTGTGGAGATGAGATGTGTCAGATGGGGGCACCGCTATTAGCAGTCCTTGGTGCTAGTCTGCTCAGGCAACAAGTTTCGCACCTGCATATCCTTAGTCCTGCCCACAACCCAGAGTGGGAAAGGGAATGGGCAGGAAGATAAGCTGGGAGATGGATGCATGTTCCTACTGCGTTGTTTGTGTTCCAGTCAAGCCGCTTGCGCCTATCAACGTAACAATGACAAAGATGAAAGACCAGGAGTATGAGCTGAGATGGACAAAACAGATCCTAAGCTATGACCATATAGGCCAGAGATATGAATTCTTATATTGGAAGACTGACTCCTTGGAGGTAGGTGATGGTACGGTTGGGAGCCCAGGACTCTGCCAGGGAGGTGGGTGGATGGGACAGAGAGTTCCTCACCCCTCCTCCATCTCTTCTCCTCTTTTCTTCCCAGAATGCCCAGATTGTAAACATCAGCAATGACAAGCCTCCCCGCATCTTCACCCTGCAGATGCTGGAGCCCTCCACACGCTATAGGGGAAAAATGCGGGCGAGGGTGCACTCGGATAGCTACAAGGGGCCCTGGAGCGAGTGGAGTGAGGAGTGCACCTGGGAAACTGAGAGTGGTACATCCCAGCTGGACTACTGGCTTGGGGCTTTGGGGGAGGGGGTCAGTTCAAGGGAAATGGGGTTTCATACAGTTTATTAAGCAAAGAGACTGACCAGTGTCTCCTTAGTACCTAGCTGCATGCTTCAGTTCACAGAGAATGGGTATAATTGGCTTATCTGAATGGAAGCCTGGGCCTGCCATTTTCCATGGGAACAAGAAAACAGTATGAAAATCAGGAGTTGGAAGTGGATGCACGAGGTGAGGAGAGAAAGGGGCCTCCACAAGGATGAACTGCCTACATTGTCCGAGTGTCGTACAGAGGTTTTAATTCTATGATTCCCAGGAAAATTAGGGAGGAGGGCCACATGACTGTAATCTTCCCCTACTCATTGTATCTCTGCACTGCAGCCTTTGAGGTGTCCAGGTTACTACCTTTAAGAGGAACCAGACAGACTGGATCCCACTGGACGTGGTCAGGCTGAAAATGGGGCTGGAGGCCACTGAGAGAAGTTCATGGATCGAAGTGGCGGGCTGGAGAAGGGAAGGAATGATACGTGCTAGTAGATAGAAATGGATCAATCAGTGGAGCTGGTTAAACGGTTCATTCTGAACAACATTTTCATGTCTGTGAAATAAGAAAAAGATGGGCTCTTTGCAACTGATTTTAAGCAAATCTATTAGATCCTACAGGGTTTTCACTCTTCATTCAGAGAAGCGTTGCGTCATGGGTGTGTTGTTCAGCATTTGGAATTCAGGCTGTGTGATTGGTCACTTGGTCTCATGATGCAGTTCCTGGTCTGCGATTGGCTTCCTGAACCTGTACAAACAGGAGAGGTGACTGAATAGGCCTTAATTGTGAATGTACAGACTCAAATGTTTGTGTTTCTTGTAAATTCACGCTTCACTGCAAGTCTCCTGGCATTTCAAATGACTGGGTGTTTTTGTTGATATCTGCAATGTTCTTGTAAGGATCTTCACCCTGAAGTTACTGATCTGTTGTCCCAGTCTGAACTTCACTTTAACAAAATTCTTTGCTCTGGGAATTTCTTCATTTTTTTTAATATTCCTAACATGGGATTAGGGAGAGTAGGGGCTGGAGGACCATATCCCCTTTGGGGCGGACCTAATGAGATCTATAGAGGGGAACCACACTTCCACAGCACCTCCTGGGACACCCTGTCCCTTGGAGTTGTGCAGGAGAGGGAATTTTTTCTTGGGAACGTCTGAGGTCTGTGGGCATACGAGGGCTCACACAAATACAAGCTCATCCCCAGATGTTTACACAAATGTAAACTGGTTATCCAGATGTTCATGGAAACCCCAACAGAAAGGGCTCAGGCAGATCAAATCACGAGTTGGATTTAGCAAACGTCTTCACAGATTCATTGTCCTGATTAGGTCACATCTAGTCTGTCCCACATGGGCAACTATTCCATGGTCTAACAGACCTGTCAGTTAGGACATGTGACTTGATAGGCAACCTACATTTTCCTGACCTCAATATCATCCCTCCAGAGCATCCAGAACATAAGGTTCGATATTAAGCTATTTTCTGTTGCTGTCTCTTTATCTCTCTCTCTCTCTCTCTCATCTATCTGTCTCAGTCCGGTCACCACTCATTCTCCCATTGCTGGTCCCAGTCTTCACCATCATGCTGATAGCATTTGGCTGGTGTGGTTATAGATGCCTACTCAGGTAAGTTTGCACTGGGAGTGGGAGATTCGCCAGACACATTGGTAGAGTGAGTGCAGGGAGGGGCAGAGAAACAAGGGTGCGGTGCCATATGGGCACACCCCTATCCTTGAGCTAGGGTTTAGTCCAGGGGATATGCCTGGGCTGCAGCTTGAGTGCTGGGCCATGGAGTTTCAGGACCTGTGGGTTGACAAGGGGGCCCAGGGTAAGACTGTGTGTGAAGTGACCCTGCAAACTCTGTCCTGTTACAGCAAGAAGGAAAAATGGGAGGAAAAGATTCCAAATCCCGGCAAGAGCCAGCTGCTCCAGAGCTACTTCCAGGTAAGAGAGAACTGCTGACCCTGGAGAAGTGGAAGTGGAAGCTTTGCACAGGGCAGCGAAAGGGGAAATGCTGCCCTGGGGTTTATTGCTGAGTGTGTAGCTGCCCAGGTGGAACCTCAACATGCTGATCAAACCACTGCCCCCGCCTGGGGGGTCATGGGAGCACTGTGAGCAAACTGGAAACGGCAGATTAGGCCGTTGGTCTCTCACATCTGTTATCCTGCTTCAGTGGCCAAAACCTGATGCTCCAGAGATAAACAAACTCCTGCCCACAATGCACCTGGTCAAGAGTGCAACACTCTGCATAGGGAAATTACTTCCTGGCCCTATGTGCACAAGATTCGGTTACAACTCGCATAACTTGAACCCTTATCCAGCTTATGAGCCAGGGCATTAGCTGGCTCTTTATAAAGTCACAGCCCTCCGCCCTTTGGAGGCAGGGAGGTTTCCACTACAGTGTGGGAAGAGCTAGTTCTTCTCTCCCGTCCCCCTAATGTTACCAGCTGTTACTTTTATTGAGTGACCCGCTCATGATATGGGACAAGGGGAAAAGGAGTCACCACTCAGTCTGCCAAGTCCCCTTAGTAATGATCTTCCAGAGTAGGCCCCAACCACCTGCATTTCCATGTGAGGGCCAGTCACAGTGTTTGATTTGCAGGAGCGCAGGGACTGCTCCCTCCTCGTGCCCCCAAAGGGCTGGGGAAGGTGCAGGCTGGAGGCTGAGTCATGGTCCTGCCCCACCTCTGTACCAACTGCACCCTAGTGAGCAAGTATAATCACCCTACAGGATGGTGGCACCTGCCTAGTCCCCCTCAAGGAGACACAGTCCCTCCCCCACCCACCCTGAAGTGGTGGTGCTCCTCACCAGCACAATTCCTAAAGACCTCAGCCAAGTCTATGCCAGGTGCCTCCATAGCTCCCATCAGCACAGCATTGGGTGCCTAATAACCTCTAGTGTATTTCTCCTTACGATGCCTTTGTGAGCCAGGGCAGCATTATTATCCCATTTTACAGCTAGAGAACGGAGGCAAGGGGTTAAATGACTTGCCCCAAGGTCACGCACAAAGTCTGTAAAGGAACAGGAACTTAAACCCAGGTTTTCCACATTAGACACCATCTCCCCTCCACTCTTGTCCTTTGCACATGCAATAAACCTGTCACTCTTTTCTGTCTTGTAGCTGCTGCCCAGACCTCGATTCACCTCCACTGGCCCTCTCTGAAGCTCTCCAATCTCAGCTACATCCTCTGTCCTGGGAGGTGATCAGAAATGTAGAGCTCCAAAGATAGCCCCCCAGTCTGACAGAAGGGCACCATATCTGTTCCCTTTTTAATGCTCCTCCTGGCTGGGTGTGGAAGTGCAGCAACTTTTGGCTTAGTTGTCCCCTACTAATCTTTGGCCTACTCCAGCCATAAAAATACCCTGGCCCTCCAGTCAGACATCTTGACAGAGTCCTGCCCCTTCTGGCCAACAGAGTCCTTTACCAAGTCCAATAGAACTGTAAACAAAACCAAACCCTCAGCCTGGCTGGGCTCAGCTGGCCATCTCAGCCTCACAGGCCTGCCTCATCCGCTCCATTTATCCCCACAGCTTGTCTCCAGGTTCTGTGCTTTCAACAGCCCCACTTTCCAGGGGCTGGCATGCTCCTCCCTTCGCTCCGGGAAGCTACTGCTCTTCAGGCCCCTGTCTCCAGTCAGGCTTCCCACTCACCCCTGGAGTAGCCTGTCTCAGGCTACTTCCCACCTCCTCTCCCCTGGGTCTCCTTCCTCCCACTAGTCTCACTCAGCACTTTATGTACACAAGCCCTTCTCTTCCAGACCTGGGCTTTATTTCTAATTAGGCCTGGCCCATCCTCCAGGTTCAAGCAGGCAGGTTAATTAGCCTCTCAAGACTTAGAATCATAGAATATCAGAGTTGGAAGGGATCTCAAGAGGTCATCTAGTCCAACCCCCTGCTCAAAGCAGGACCAATTCCCAGCTAAATCATCCCAGCCAGGGCTTTGTCAAGCCGGGCCTTAAAAACCTCCAAGGAAGG